GGCCAATAATCTGTGCCGTGCAGAGAAGGGGGCAGGAGCCGGGCAGAGCTGGGAGAGCGGAGCGTCCAGCCTTGGGGCAGCGCCGTGTTTAAACGACCTGCCGGCTTCGCAGGAAAACGGAGAAGGTTCCGAGTCTGATTTAGCAGCAGTCCGGCGCGTGAGCATCTCCTCCATCAGGTCGTTTTTCACCCTTTTCCAAAAGCTGTAACACAGAAACGCACCTTGCCCGTAAATAGTCTCTCCTTCCTGCACCTCTAACTATGTCGTCCACAGTCTTTCTAGCTTTTTAAAATGCATTTCAAGACACTCTCCTTTTTGTCTTTTCTTTCCACTTAGGTCCTACGGCACTTTGGCTGCTGTGCCTCTCAGTGACCGGCTACGCTCGTTCAGACCTGGGTACCCAGAAGAGAGGCTGCAGCCTGCAGTTACTCCTTGCCGAGGAAGCAGAGTCTGCAGCAGCGCGCGTGATGAAGATCTGGACTTTCCCAAGTAACGTTATTTCGTTGTGTGTTGAGAAAGTGAACGCATTTCCAACATTGAGGTGGAATAAAAATATTCATTTAAACCATCTTTCCCCTAATATCGTGCATCTTTCTCACATGTTGTGTCACGTATAGAAGTACAGCAGTTTCACAGCGTTGTACCTACCTCAGAAAAAACAACTTGTGACTGATTTTCATTGAAAAAATGCACCAGAAAGACCAAGGCTATTAAAGATAAAATCTCTCAGATGGCTATTTACTTTTCCCAAAATAAGCATGAAGCTTGTTGACAGAACAGAATGGGTCATAATCCACTGAACTCAGAATATGAATTTAAAAGTCTTCTTCCACCCAGTGAGTGGTAGTGTGGACTTCTGCAATTAATTTATTCTTTTCGTCCACAGATAGAAGAAGTCTGTGAGGCCAACACGTATGCAGAGGGCTTTGTGAGGATTACTATCTCTCTGCAGGTCTGAAGATACAGAACAGATGCTATTGTTGCTGTAGTTCATGTGCTTCTTTAGTCCCCAGAAATGTCAAGGTCACAAACTCGGAAGTCAGATCTGGCCAAACTTAACACTGCCAGTCGGGGACAAGTCAATCGTTATTTCATAACTGTTACCCATAAGAGCAATATATTCTCCTTATTCCTCAAAACCCATAAATTATGATCTTCGGACTTTTGGAGGTTAACACTATCACCAGTCACCTTTATGTGCTTTTGTATAAACAGAACGATTAAACCTGATAGGGCTATGCCCATTCGTAGAGTGGTTGGCCACGTAACAGAATTTAATATATTTTATTTTGTGTGTGCATATATGCCACAAACGTAAGGGGCAGATACTTTCCGAAGTTTTGCTTGGTTTTGATCAGCAGCTGAAAGACAGAGAAAGGAGGTGTCTTTTTAAATACAGGAAATCAACAGTTGCCATTGAATCATTAATTGATCAGGAAGAGACCGAGTCCTTGTGTGACTAAGACTTGTCCATTTATTTCCTGATTGTGTCACTCAATCTAAATGAGAGATAAGAGATCCAGTACCTACAGACCTTGCTTTGCTTCTATCTTTAGACTATCACAGCTATAGCAACTCTATGACTGATATCAACAGTCTCTGAGTGTTTCAACTAATTTATGCTTTCAATGGCACCAGGAATTAATACAACAAAATTCACATAATGTAACCTGCCTTTTTATCAAGTTGCTGTTACAGCACTTCCTGGCTACAGTCCAATTTCAAATAAAGTTTATTTCAGATTTTAAAAAGTGAATAGCAGAACATAACAGCTTTTAAAAGATAAAGTAGATTACAGGAGAGGAGAGAAGATTGAATACTGCAACAAAAGCAAATAGAGAAGCCTATGATAAAGCTTTTTATGCTTAAGCAGGGTTTCAGAAGATCCAGAGATGATTAAATTGATTATAGAATGATGTTTCACTGGAGAGAGATGATTAAATTAAAACTGAGGCAGCAAAGGAATAATAATTGGAAATCATTGATAATAACTAGTAGTTCTTTTAGACATGAGAGTACAAAAAGTAAAATTTCAAGTTTCCAAAGGAGTTAATTGGCTTGTGAAGATTATTCATATTTATTCATAAGAATTTTAAAACACATTTTGTTAGCACGGATGAGACATCATTTTAGTAAAAGCTGCCAGCAAAAGAATAGAATTAAAATATTTACATAATAGTTCAGGCTTATTGTCTCAGCAGCTACTATTTATAAAGTGAAACATCCGTGCTAAAGCAACTAGTATATTTGAAAATAGATTAGAACAGTTAGGGAAACCTGTGTTAACATTAGCAAAACTTACATATAACTAAGACCACTCTAAGATACCATTGTAGATTACCCATAATCATCTACAATAGCAAATTGGTAATGAATAGCATTAAAATGTTATAGAAAATAAATCTGGTCCTGCATATATTTTGTTACTTACCATTTTTATTTCAAATTGAAAGGTGGTGGTGATTTCTGGAAATGCCCTATTCAGTTAGCTGTTAGCCTGGACTGAAGCACACATGCGCTTGCCTTTGCTAGAAATAGAAAGTCTGCTTATAAGGTGAGTTAGCTAGCTAGAAAAAGATAGGTAGAGATACATAGCTTCTGAAAACCATGGAAAATTAAAATGCAGGAACAAGTAACTAAAATGTATTGATAATCAACTCTTTTGGCTTATACCATCCCTCCCACTCAACCCACCATCTCCTTAAACCCAGGGCAGTATTAAGGGAAATAATTGTTCAGTGCAATTTCATGAGCTAAGTATGAAGAAGCAATAGTTGTTTGTACACAGGAACATACTAATACAGTACTTCTCGTACTTCAGTAAACTGGAGAATAAACCTCATTAAGTGAAATGAGTTTTCTGCACTAGTATCCTATACAGAATTATGAAAAACAAATAGCAGGGGAGGGGTTTAAACTGGAAGAAGCTTAAAAGTTACAGACAATACTGCCTTAAAATAAGTATAAACAACTTTTGAATCTCTAATAAGATGTTAAACATTCTGTAACAAGGGATCAGAAAATAAACTCCAATACTACTTTGTATTTTTAATCACAGCATGCAAATAGAATGCTAATAACTCACATGAGCAAAAAAATTGCAAGCAAACTAACCACATCACTGGGTTTTATTCTAGATTTAGTTTCTGGGCTCTTACAGCATTCACAGCTGAGGCGGCACCCTTGTTCTAACCTCCTTTTATTAAAAAAAGTTTCAAAAAATATTGCCTTCAGCAAAGTTGACAGGAAAATTCCTTTATATAGAGGCCCTTGAGATGAGACGTGGCTAATCCAAGTTTAAAATCCAATTTGTCTGGAAGGCTATCAAGGCATAACACAAATTGTTGTTTCACTATTTACAGAAAAAGTACCTATTACTCTAGTTTTAGTCTGGCACAACGAACTGCTCTTTTTTCTTCCATTAGGGTTTGTTTAAAGCTGCTAATCAAAGTCCTGATTATTAGAATGTTTACTTTTTCTGAGCTGCTATAACATACATCACAGAAGGAAAAGGATTTTGATGGAAACGTAACACTACAGAAAACAGCGTGAAAGTAGGTCCTTATTTTATCTCCACGTACTGTGAAGTAGAACTAAACAGTCAATATTAAAAAGAGAAGCTTTTCTCAACACAAGTTCTTATTTTACCAGTTTCTTACCTTTTATTCCAAATTAACATCATTTTAATCTCTATTGTTAAACATATTCTACTGCAAGTGATCAGAGACGCAATTCAAATATTATTTGTATTTTAAAACGTAACACATTCAACATTTAACTCCTATCTCCCATTTTTCTCAAATGTTAAGTGCAAAAAATTTTCAGGCCAAAATGTGTTAATGTGAGGAGTAGTTTCTTTACAGTGAAGCACAGAACCCATATGCATTATGGGAGCAAAAGTTTTACTGGGACCAAGGTCATTTTTTAAATGAGCAAAACACTGCTAGTGAAACTAGGCAACTCCAGAGTTCTCAATTCCTACCAAAGTCAATAATCTCTATGAAACTAAGTACAGTTCATAGGAAAATTATTAGAGAAAATTTCTCAGTGACACTTAGTTCCTTTTAAGCATATCAAAATCCAATTTAAGGGGAGCTAAAGGGAGAATTGACGGTATCCATAAAGTCAACACTTGACTACATGGCTATTATAAAACTTATGCCCTAGTTTCAGAGTGAGGAGTACAGTCATATATACAAAATGCGATAAACTATATTAAAGTATTTCAGCATTAAAAGGTTTTATACTTAGAAAAGCTTATTTTGTTAAAACAGTTGCATCTGTGAATGTACATTATTTTGTAAACAACAAAGCTCTTACTGCTGTTCGAAAGTTAAAATAACACAAAAAACATTTCAGGCAAACCTAGAAAGCACATTTTTTTTCCTCCACAACGGACATTTTGATTTTGTAGTTTGCTCCTTTCAAACTGATTCAATTAATTCCATACATTTCTATTAATTGGAAATCTAACTGATCCTTGAAAAAGAATTCATGCCTTTACAATCAGACGAATGATTATTTTTCACAGTTGTATAAAACCTATAGAACAGCATTTAAGAAAAAGAAGTATTACATAGTATATACATGGTCATGTTAGAGAGATACAGTAATATATTCAGGCTTCAAAATAGTTTCAGATGAGCCAATACTGCCCATTATTTCCCAAAAGTTGATTTTTTTTCTAGCCCAGCTAGACTGAGGCAGTCACAGTAAGGTTCTATTTATTGTTACCATCTAAAGGTTTGTACATAAACTGCTATTAACACTTATGGAAGCATTAAGTAAAAAAAATTATGACCATGTTAGTCTTTATAGTTACTTTTAAAAAAATTACAATCCTCATTACAATCCTAACCTTCTGAGAGGTTAGAATTTTTTTTTAATGTGATCTATAATGGCCTGAATAGCTTTTATTCATCCCCTCAATTTCTTAAGTTTTCAAATTCTTTACAGAGCAAGAGGTAGCATACAAATTAAACACATTACATGTTAGCAAATGATGACTTAACCAGAGGCTGAATAAAGTGGCATAAACCGTTAAGAGTCTTGCAGAGAAAATGGAGACTTCAAATTTGAATCATAGTTAACATTTACGCAAAACTCCTTCTTAAAAGGTGTTCATGGTGCAATCTTCAAATTTATACATCTCCTTCACTACATATTTCTCTTACATTTTTATTAATTATCTCATATCAGTTGTGACATGCAAAGAAGTTCCTTTTAATATCTGGATGAAAACTGATGACAAAGTAAAACACGCAGGGAGTTAGTTCCAACAAATGAAAAATATTATTAGCTTTTCTACATTGCCATCTATTTCAGCAGCAGGTACTGCTGTAAAACAGATGCATAATGCGTATGTAATTATGCAGTCTATTTCATTGCCCACTAATGGACTCATACCACTTTCCTGAACTGGAACTGCAAAAGGTAAAATGTCAGACTCCAGCAGAGATACTTTCCAAGGCCTTTCATGCTAAATGGGGAAGGGCAACAAAAGATTATCACTCAATTGAAAATGTGTTTTAAAAATCACGTTGTTTGAGCCAAATTTTTATCATATTGGATTTTAAACTTGTAATGTTTCCAAAAATATCTTCTGCATCAAATACATACATTTACATACATAAAAAAACCATGAAAAGCAACATCACTTCCCAGAATTGAGAAAACACTTCACTACTATTGATAGGCTGACTATATATGTGAATATTTATATCTGAAGCTTAATTACTAATTGTGCAACAACTGTATACAGAGACATACCATTACATTGCCGGTAAGTTGCTGCTCTGTCAAATAAGAGAAGCCATCAATATCAGGTCTAAATTAGTTACAAGGTAAAATGATTTTGTGATTGCTAAATAGGAAAGATGAGAATTATTAGGAAACTTTATTTTGGGTTGCTAAAATTTATTAGAAAAATGGCAAAATTTTATCTGCTATAGTACCCTTCCAAGAAAAAATTGCTTGCTAAAAAGCTTTGTTTTCTGAGGTATTAAATTGTTTGATTTTCATGCATTCCTCTTATTACTGAATGGACTGTAGAAAATTACGGTAACGTTAAAGATATAGTTGGAGCTACTATTGAAAAAGTTTATTGCTAACAGAAACATGATTCAGGTTTTTCTTCAGTGTATGCCTATTTTTATTATAAAAAAAGTGTAAAAGTTCATTAAATAAGAACTCAGATAATCCATTTGTAGGTACCTAAAAGCTCTGAAATAATATCCAATACAGAAAAACAGCAAAAAAAAAAAAAAGAAAAGCTATAAATATAAGCTAAAACAGTAGTACTTGGTATTTGTTTTTTTAATCTTTGTTCTGCAGCTTAACCAACCACAGACATAGTCATCACATGAAGCAAAAATTACTCTTCTCCAGCTGTAGCCACAGACTAATGACAAGATAACTGGAAGACACTGACAAGCATCCATTGATTAACACGGGCCCAAAGATCTTTCCATGTGACTATAGCTGTGGAACTGAGATCTAGGACTACAAACTATGTAAGAAACAGCACATTTTCAGAAGGAATAAAGGTGTTTTATTTATCCAAATAACAGCCAGAAGTTCTTTTAGTATCTTGGGTAATAAAAGTATTCTGGGTTAAAAAAGTATTTTTAGAAAGATGCAGGCTAACCTTGTTACATTTTCATTAACCCACTGCTTTTGAGTGAGTTCACTGAAGCATTGTAGGGCTTCTGACATTGAAGTTATTGATGCAGAAGGGTACAACAGCTTGAGTTACTTCTCATCAGTTCCTATATTCAATCAGTTGTTATGTAGAAGAAAAAGCTTTACATTTTCATTAATTTTGTTTTGGAAAATTCCGAACTACTCTCTAGCAGTACAAATTATGTTTATTAGTAATAAACATCATCGTTTTCCCCTGGCTATCTAAATGCTTCTGGAGCAAACGATTGAAATTTAAGCATCTACAATGTCATACTGCATTCAGACGTTTTCCTTGTTACTGCTAGTATTAGCACAGTTAAATTTGACAATTAACTCTGTTAGACCACCAGAGGGAGTCAAAAACTACATACCGTTTCTGAAAGTTTATAAACCTCCAGGTTACAGTTTAAAATATTTCTGGAAATATATGCTATATGTTGCGTGTATTTCAACAAATAGCTAAGAAAAACTAATGACATTAAGGGAATTCGTCTCTGTAGCAGCTGCTGAGGATAAAGACAATGTCAAAATTCTAGCAACCTCATCAGTCCATTACTAGCCAGAGGTAATAAAAATGTTTGTGATACAAAGAAAGGAGTAGTCAGCAAATACTTTTGCTCTGTGTTTGGGAAGAACCAGAATTATGTGTTTGTACTAGATTTTACAGTAATGTTAGTAACTGGAGAGAAGTCTTAAAAATCTATAGACCCAGAATCTGCATACAGCTGTCCAGAAACAAAAGATTGTCATCTTCAGTCTGATCATGTCCCTCCTGAATAGCTCATGGAACGTCAGAGACATCCTTGGAGAGTGTTAAAGTTGTGCCTATACTGGAAAAGGAAGCCAGAAGACAGTGGTAGGGTGTACACTCATTAGCCAAATAGGACTAAGGGAAAATCCTGGAAAATTAAATACAAGGTTATACTACAACATCCCAAAATCTTGGTCTTAGCAGGGAGGGGAGGAGGCCTCCTAGGATCAGCTGGGGCAAATTCCAAGACCTGTTCCTGAAAAAGGTAGAAATGGGAAGAGCTGACAAAACGTGGACCCCATACTAGAAGTGCTAGCTACTACTTCTGTACAGCAATTATGAGTTCAGAGACCTGGTCAATCAGTAGGCCATCTCTGACTACAATAATTGGCAGAGCTAACAAAATACTAGCTTTGGGTTTTGGAAATTAAGCTTCAGGTAAAGAAAACAGATTTTACAAATAGATTATTAGAAAATAAAATAAGCACCTGTGCCAAACAAATTTACACAGGAAATTAGAATTTTTTTAAAGCTGTTAGGATAATTAACTTTTAGGTCAAATACCAAGGAGGCAGTGGATTCTTCACCTCTTGATGAAGCCAAAAAAAACCCAAGACCGGCTGCTTTTTGGGTAGTATGAATTGATCAAAAAGTTATTTGCTCAAAAGAGTAAATGCTTTAAATTTGATACCTATTCTACACAGGAAGTCAGACTACTAGGTGATGCAACAATTGCTTTTATTTGTACGTTCAATCTGAATATACTTCATATTACGATAATGAAAAGATCAAACCAGTATCACAACATAATTTTTGATGCATATCAAAGTGCATACATCATCATCGTGAAATATATAAACATGACTAAGTCAGCTGAGTGTTACGCAACAGCACGTAGTTGGAGGATTTCTGCAGATTAAAAAGATGGCTCTCAGCTACTTGACTTCTGTCATCGGGATAAGCACAGACAACAAACAACTACATAAACAAGGCTTCTGAGAAACCCTAAAAAGCTTCGATCCTCACCTATTTTGAGCATTTCAGTATGTTTGTGAATACCGTTATTAGATGTCTGCATATATCACAAATAAAATGTGTGCTTTATCAAAGACATCAAACATAAAAGTTCTTACTGATGATTATTTCATACAAATCTTCGTGCTAGAGTTGCGTCATGCTACTTTTAATGCATTTGATCATAAGTGATTTCATATTTTCATTAGAATTTACTACCATGTTGTGTAATGATGTTTATGAAAGTTGTATTTCATGGTCATATTTAACTTCAAAATATCACAGGAGAACTTTAAAATATGGTCCAGTTATTTCTAGGATTATAAAAATTCTGTATTTCTGGACTTTTACATTACAAAGAAGGCAAAGAAATAAAACCAATATTTTATAACACCAACAGTTATCTGTGACTTTGTACTGATAGCAGAGAAGTATATATTATTTATTTTTCACAACTGTCTTGTAAGTATTTTTAAATGGAGATGAATGAAAACTGGGATTATGGAACTATCAGCTTATGCAACATAACCAAGCTCTGACAATCTGTCCAAAAACCAACCACAACTGGTTAGCAGATGGTCAGATAGCTCAGCCTGTCTGTTGCTGACAGCTATAAAGAGGAAAGCAAGCACCACAACCTTTGAATAACCGATAAGCAAGGCCTTTGCTGTAATACCATAATAGCAGAAGTTCTAGTTCACTCCTCTATTAGTAGTCTGATCATTTAATGATTGTAAAAAGATGACCTCAAACAGTTGTTTGAATCAGTATTGCTTGCCAAATTGCGAAGGCTACCATTTTTAAAACAAAGGATTCAACTCATTGGAAGTTTAAAAAAAAAAAAAAGGAAAGAAAAAAAGCTTCCATCTCTCTTCAGTATTTAAAAATAAATTCGTGAGCTAATGAGAAGCAATACTTGAGGCAACCTGAGGCAAACTTAGAAGCAGCTAAGTACAAATAGACCAGTGGCCATCTAAAAAAAGCAGGAAAAAACTGCTCTGGATTAGTCTTAGAGGGAAATAAAGTTGTCACCTAAGAACCTGTATAACATCTATTTAGAATAGAAAACAATGTATGTGCTTTTTAATTAGCTGTTTGGGAGCATAAAAGCAAAAGTAGGAAGCAACAATGTTGCTGTGACTATGGTTGATTATGGACAGATACGAACTGTCCCTTCTGTGGGGTTTGACTTTCCATCTTCAGTTCAAAATGAGGATAACGAGCAATGTTTCTGGGGAACAACTGCCAGTGTTCAACCTCTCAGTGCTTCCTGCTGCTTCCAGGTATGGGTTCTTGACCTTCAGAAGTTTCACATGTGTAGGACAAAGCAAGCAAGTCTCTCCTGTGCGTTTCTGACCAAATCCCACTTCAAGAACTTAAAGGCAAACAAGCCAGCCAAATTTGACAGCTATTCTTCAGAGAACGTTTAGATCTGAATTTGAAGGTGCTACTTGAGCTTGCACTTTTTGGTTTCTACTCATTCTCAAATACAAGATTTTTTTTCTGTACTCCTAAAGCTTCACGCTCCATTTAGCGAATGTTAACAGCTGTCTAATGAAAGAGATTCCCATTCAATAGCTAGTGTACATTAAGCTATGCATTTCTACACTTCTGATAAAGGGATGGTTTTGTTACATTGGCTTCCTTCATATTTTTATTCCTTCTGCATGTTCTGTACATTTGACTCTACAGTTCTTTTTGGGCAGGAAGATCTATGCATCACCTTTAGGACAAGTAGAAGGACGTAAATACAAAGAGAGAAACAGAAGAGAGAAAAGGATCAAGAGAAAGCAACAGAACCAAGAATACAATATGGGGAGTGAAAAATTAAAGAAAGTAGTCTGTATAAACATGCTTAACCCAATGTTACAATGTACTTAACACAAATATTAGAAATGCATTTTTTTAAAGGTATAGTGAGGGCATAACACCTCAGGACCTAAGTATATAGGCATATTCATGATGTTCTTAAAAAATAAGCTCCTGACAGTGCTAGAGATCTGTAAAAGCTCTGACTGCTCCAAACAGTCTGTCAGTCTGTCTTTGAAACTTGTTCAGATACTTCTCCCTAGTGCCATAGAAGTTGTGCAGAATGTAATAGGCAGTCAGGTCCTGCGCATCACCTACAACGCTGCCTTCCTCCTGATACCAAGTACTGTCTACCTAACATTCAGATACTCAGCTTATCTTTAAGGTGTTCTTCTCTGTGATGAGAGTTCCTAGCGTAAGGCTTCAAGAGGCAGAGGAACAACAGATAGGCAGATCGCTAAGTATCAAAGGGGAATGGATACCCATGCTGCAGCTCTACACCGTGGGCAGTTCTAGCAAGAATCTCCCCTACGGGAAACCAGGGCTGACTGTACATAATGACAAAACCATACATTTCTCGAGATTGATTTGCAGTGACTTCGTAGCCATCACAGCAGTTAACCGCACATTTTTGGACAACAACAACAACAATCCCTTCCTATTTCTGAATACCATGGCCCAGAGAAGAAAACAGCATGACTAAGATCAGAAACTTCACTACAGTTACTATTCCAAAGCCGCTAGAGAGCCTGATTTGCCCAAAGCAGCTGTTCGTTCCCTCCTGCTTATTAGCAAGGCTTACAAATAAGGGGAAGTATCTCCAAGACAGAAACTCCAACAATAGATTTTCCTAAACTGGTAGATGGCTCCAACAGGACTGGTTAACAATGGACTGGGCTTGCCATCTTCCAGATCAGCATGTTCAACTTTCACAGCTCTGGAGAAGACAGGATTGCTGGCATCTGGCTCTGCAAATCTGTGACGAGTTCTGAGCAATCCTACAGAAAACAG